TGTGTGGATCATAACAAACTGTGGCTGACTCTGAGAAGAATGCGAATCCCAGAACATTTAATTGTGCTAATACGAAAACCTATACTTAGACCAAGAGGCAGTAGGCAGAACAGAGCAGGGTAACACTGCATGGTTCAAAATTGGGAAGGGTGTACGCCAGGGATGCATCCTGTCTCCATACCTTTTCAACATGTATGCAGAGCAGATTATCTGAGAAGTTGGGCTCTATGAGGAGAATTGTGGCATCAGGATTGGTGGAAGATCTATTAACAATCTGCGTTATGCAGATCACACAACCCTGCTTGCTGAAACTGAGGAGGACCTCATGCACTTGCTGTGAAGGGTCAAGGACTGCAACCTTCAGTATGGACTGAGGCTCAATGTCAAGAAGACAAAGATTCTCACCACTGGACCAATTGGCAGCGTCAGGATGGATGGCGAAGAGACTGGGATTGTTCACAGCTTCAGTTTGCCCGGCTCCACAGTCAACACTCTTGGCACCAGCAGTCAGGAAATCAAAAAGCGTATCGCGATGGGAAAGTCTGCTGTTAGGGACCTCTCTAAAGTACTCAGGAACAACGGTGTCTCTCTGGAGACTAAGGTGCGCCTGATACAGGCCATGGCCTTTGCAATCACTTGTTATGCATCAGAGAGTTGGACAATGACTAGGGAGGACAGAAAGAGACTGGATGCTTTTGAGCTGTGGTGCTGGAGAAGAGTACTGAATGTACCATGGACTGCCAGGAAAACAAACAGATTCATCTTAGAGAGGATTAAACCAAGCTACTCCTTGGAGGCAAGGATTCTGGGGCTTCCTCTGACATACTTTGGACACGTTGCCAGGAGGGACGGGTCCTTGGAGAGGGACATCATGCTTGGGTGGGTGGAGGGACAGCGCAGGAGGGGAAGACCCTCTATGAGATGGATTGATTCGGTGACTGGGGTAATAGGGATGGGTGTGTCAGAGGCGGTGCGGTTGGCGCAGGATAGAGCAGGGTTTAGGGCTGTTGTGCATAGGGTTGCTATGAGTCGCAAACGACTTGATGGCACATAACAACAACAACAACAACAACAGTGACTATAGAAATGGGTTTGTGTCAAAGATGGGGAGAATGATATAGGATATCATAGGGTTCTCCATGAGTTGTACTTCACCTGACAGCATATAACAACAACAACAACCACATTCAATCTGTATACTGAGTACGTAATTCAAGAAGCTGGCTCTTATGAAGAAGAATATGACATCAAGATTGGAAGGAGACTCATTAGCAACCTGCATTATGTAGATGGCACAACCTTACTTGGTAAAAGTGAGGAAGGTTTGAGGTTCTTGATACAGAAATCAAGGACTATAACCTTTAATATGGCTTACATGTCAACATCAAGAAAACAAAATGCAGTGGGCTAATAGTCAACATCATGATAGATGGAGAAAATATAAAGTTGCTAATGACTTAATCTTTTTTTGATCTTCAATCAACACCATTGGTGTAGTCAAGAAATCAGAATACATTGGGAAAGCTGCTGTCAAGGATATTTCAGAGGTGCTGAGGAACAGCAATATCCATTTGAAGACTATAGTGCATCTAATTTAAGCCATTGCCTTTTCAATTACTTGCTATGCATATGAAAGTTGGACAGTGACTAAGGATGACAGGAGAAAAACCCATCCCTTTGAAATGTGTTGAAGAAGTGTACTGAATATCCCATGGACTTCCAGGAAAACAACAAATATGTCTTGAAGAAAGTGCAGCCAAGGTGCTCTTAAGAGATAAGGATGATAAAATCTCATACTTCGGCATTTTGTTAGGACTGGTCAGTCCTTAGAAAAAGATACCATGCTTGGAAGGCTGGAGGTTCAGAGAAAGAGAGAAAGATCTTCAACAAGATGGAGTGACATGATGACTCTGACAACAAGCTCAAGTATATCAGAGATGGCAAATGATATAGTAGAGTTCAGATCATTGTTCATAGAGTCACTATAAGTTGTAATCAACTTGATGGCATCTAACAACAACAACAACAACATGCTTCTCAAGAAAATGAAACAAAATAATACCTGTAAAGCTCTTATGAGTGTATCTACATAATGTCAAAATGTAAGTATTAACTGTTAATAGTATTATTAAGGAACTCATATGGCATTGTTCATAGGAAGTTAAACTAGTAATCCATAGGCTACAACTCTGGAAGTTCAAATCCACCAATGGTTCCAGTGGAGAATGATGGGCCATTTCTCTTGTGATTTAGAGACTAAAAAGCCCAATGGAGAACCAACTATGGATTAGTTCTGACTCAGCAGTGATGAGTTTCTTGGACTATTAGTATTGTTATTAATATGCCTGGAAAAAAGGTGTAGCCAGAGTGTTCCTTGGAGGTAAAGGTGATAAAGGTTTGTTGCACACACTTTGGGCAGTTTGGTGGGAGAGGCTATTCCATAGAGAGAGACATCATGCTTTGAAAAGTGGAAGGGCAAAAGAAGAAAGACTCTCAACCAGATGATCTGACCCAGTGACTACAGCAAATGGTATGTCAGGAATCGTAAGGATGGTACAAGACAATACAGGGTTCATATCTGTTGCTTGTAGGGTCTCTGTGGGTTGTACTTGACTCAAAAGCAACTATCAGCAACTAACAACAAGACATTGTTATTTGTGATCTATCATAAGCCTAAGAAGCTAATGAAAAGAAAATGTAGCCTGAAAGAAGAATATAAAATTGTTTGATCCTAGGAAATCACAGGCAAGAAAAATGAGAAGCCAAAAAAATAAACCACACTACCCTAACAACAACCACCTCCCCCCAGAAAAAAAACCCTAACAAATATTATGGTAGCTGCAAATAAGCATAGCAAGCTATGAAAATCTACATGGGTTCAGTAAATAAAACTATACAATAGCAGGATCAGAATGACTTTCAATTTTCATTTCAATATGGAAAGTGAAAATTCATCCAGCAGAGGAAACAATATTTTCAACTGCATAGTCATGGGGAACTGCAAGTAATTCAGAATTACAAAGCAAAAGGACAGAGACCATAAATAGGGATAATTCTGTCAGCTTAGAGGTAATGAGTTACCAACCCAAAGGTATACAATTCAAACCTTTTAACTGTTCTGTAAGAGAGAGACAGATAGATTGTCACCCCTCAAGCAATTTACTGCCACTGAAAACCTGCTGGAGGGTGAGCTATGGATTGATTCCCTACTCAGTGGTAATAGAACAACAAAAACCCAAATAGACACAAAGCTAGAGGTTGACTATAGAACAGACTCTTAACTTCTCCTATACCATTTCAAATTAAGACTGAAGAAAAGTTCAAACAAGTTCATGAAAGCCAAAATATGACTTCCAGTTTCTCTTACTAGAATTTAAAAGCTATTACAAGAAAAGATTAAATGCATTAAACAGTAGTGACTGAAGTACATCAGAGCTATGGGAAAGGAGAAAAGGAGGAAAGAAGGAGAGGAGAGAAAGTTAAAGTTGCGCTGAAGGCATTGGCAAAATATAAGGCTGTGAGGAATTGTGCTGCAAATGCAAAAGGTACATTGTTTGAATCCATCAGTTGCTCCATGGGATAATGATGGGCAATCTCTTCCTGTGTGATTCACTGCCTCTGAAAACCCATTGAAGGGTCAGCTATGGGTCACTTCCAACTCAGTGGTACATAACAAGAAGAATTGATAGCATACCATTAACATGTTTCACCCAGATGCTTCCCTGGATGTGCTTACGAATATATGCCAAGAAATTTGTTTCCATTACAAAAAAGATGATCCAACAGGGTATGGATATTATTATATAATTAATATGATATGCAAGTAAAATCTTGCTGAAGATTACAAAAAATAACTGGAACAAGTACATTGACAAGAAAGATCCATAAGTTCAAATTGGATTTATTTTTGTGTGCGTGTACCGTTAAATCAGATCTGACTGGTACAGGAGGAGATTGCCCCTCCTTCCCCAGCAGAGCATCTGGTGGATTCGAACCGTGCACCTCTGGGATTGTAGTTGCAGCTTCTTGCCACTAGGCCACCAGAGCTCCCTCAAATTGGATTTAGAACAGATTGAGGAACATCATTGCTGATGTCAGATGGTTCTGGTCTGAAAACTGAGAATACCAGAAAAAATGTTTACTTATGTGCTATTGACCCTACAAAGGCATTTGACTTTGTGGATCACAACAAATTATGGATATAATGGAAAAGAGTCAGAATTCCACAACATTTAATTATACTCCTGAGTAACCCGTGTGTAAACAAATAAGCAGTTCAAATGGAGCAAGGAGATACAGCATGGTTTGAAATCAGAAAATTGTACTTCAAATACAGGATTGCATCCTTTTTCATACCTATTCTACCTGAATAATGAGCAAATAATTAGGGAAAGTGTATTATATGTGGAAGAATGTGGTTTGTGCCACTGGATTCATTCCAATCCTGATAAATTGGAAGACATATCAGCATCCTGAGCTATGAAAATGACACATCTTTATTTGAGGAAAGTAAAGACTACTTGAAGTACATCCTAAAGAAGTTCAAAGACTACAGCTTTCAACATGGATTACACCTCAGAACCAAGAAAACAAAACTTGTCACTACTGATTCAAAAGGCAACATCAAGATAGATGGAGAAATCATTGAAATTACCAAAAATTTTACTTTTACTTGACTCCACAATCAGTACCCATGGTAGCAACAGTTCAGAAATCAAAAGATATATTGCATTGGGCAAGTATATTATAAAGGACTTCTTTGAAGTGCTCTGGAGCCAGGATGTCAGTTTAAGGACTGAGTTTAAGCACAGGTGATTCAAGCTGTGGCATATTCAATTGCTTTATATCTATCGAAAAGTTGTCTAATGAATAAGGAAGACTGAAGAAACATCAATTCGATTTAATTGTGGTGTTGATTATTGAATGTATGACTGTCTGCCAAAAGAACAAACACATCTGTCTTTGAGAAATTGCAACCATGGTGCTCCTTAGAGGCAAGAATGGTGAAACCTCTTACATGCTTTGGTCATATGGTAAAGATGTTCCTGTACTTGAGGAAAAGTAGCTGACTGGGAAAAGACAGTGAATTAACAGAAGATCCTCAAGAAAATAGATTGACAGAGTGACTACAACAATGGACTTTATCATTATGGGGATACTTAAGATGGTACAGGACAGGACAAGGTGCTGCTCTGTTATTCAGAGTGCCTACAAGTCTCAGTCAACTTGAAGGCACCTAACGTCAAAAGAATAAACACTTGGTCTCAGAAAAATCTCAGTCACTAAAACTAGGCCTAATGTTTAGAGTGGTACTATAAAAAACCAATAATTTAGGGACTCCTAGATAGCTTCTTAGACTTTTTAAAATGATTATGCATATTTCATTCCTCTCGGGAGGCTGGGATCTATGAGGAGAAGTGTGGGGTCAAGATTGGTGGATGATTTATCAGCAACCTGCATTATGCGGATGACACAACCCTGCTTGCTGAAATTGAAGAGGACCTGAAGCACCTGCTGCAGAGTGTCAAGGACTGCAGCCTACAATATGTATTGAGGCTCAATGTCAAGAAGACAAAGATTCTCACCACTGGACCAATTGGCAGCATCAGGATGGATGGTGAAGAGATTGAGATTGTACACAGCCTTAGTTTGCTTGGCTCTGTAGTCAACACTCTTGGCACCAGCAGCCAGGAAATTAAAAGGTGCATTGCCATGGGAAAGTCTGCTGGTAGGGACCTCTCCAAAGTACTGAAGAGCAATGGTGTCTCTCTGGAGACTAAGGTGCGTCTGATACAGGTCATGGTTTTCGCAATCACTTGTTATGCATCAGAGAGTTGGACAATGACCAAGGAGGATAGAAGGAGAATTGATGCCTTTGAGCTGTGGTGCTGGAGAAGCGTATTGAGAATACCATGGACTGCTAGGAAAGCAAACAGATTTGTCCTGGAAAGGGTTAAACCGGGTGTCTCCTTGGAGGGAAGGATTCTGAGGCTCCGTCTAACATACGTTGGGCATGTTGTGAGGAGAGACCGGTACTTAGAGAGGGACATAATGCTTGGGAGGGTGGAGGGACGGCGCAGGAGAGGAAGGCCCTCTATGAGGTGGATGGATTCGGTGACTGGGATAATTGGAATGGGAGTGTCAGAGACAGTGCAATTGGCACAGGACAGAGCGGAGTTTAGGGCTGGTGTACATAGGGTCACTATGAGTGGCAAGCGACTCGATGGCACATAACAACAACAACAACATAGACTTCTTATTTGTTGGATAGTCAGTGTTTTTTGTAACTGTAAGGAAGGTACTGTGCACACTAAAAAGAAACGTTCAATATTTTGAAAGGAAAGAGTAAGAAAGTAAGAGTAAGAAGAAAGAAAAGAAAGGAAAAGTGAAAAATAAACAAGATAAGAATTTGGGGAGGAGGAAAACAATGAGAGATTTAAAGTGAGAGACAGATTTAAAATAAGACAAATTTAGGCAGATAGAGAAAAGAAGAAAAAGGAAGTATTTAACAAAGACATGCATCTCAGAGTCAAGAATTTGTTTAAACAGTCCAATTTATTTGTGCCTTAGAACCTTTTAGCATGAAGGAGTGTAACTAACAACAACAAAAAAACACTTTACTGCTATAAAAAGGTTATTGTTTTTGCTTCAGATAAGCATTCTGGCCTAATACTTACTTGGTTTTATTTTTCCCCCTCTGTAATGTAACCCTGTAATGGTTTGTACCAAAGGGCAGCTCACACAAACTATTATGCTAAGTATATACTGTAATTTAGTGATCACATGTTTACTAGATTTCAGAGACATAATTGTTACTTCTAGTAAATATCATTTTCTCTAAATCTCTTAGCAACTCATTCATGTAATAATGTAACAGAAACTGTATATTCACGGTTCTAGTTTAAATACTTTATGTGCCCAACTGACAATAGAACATATTAAAGAAAAGTGAAAAAAAGACTGTCTTAAGATTTTTTTTTTGTTAGGTAACTGATTCAATATCATGATAATTAGTATCATTTTCCCCTCTTCCTCCAACTTTGAAGAAATTGTGGAAATTGTGGTAGTGTCATGAATATTTCTTAACTAGTTATTTACCATGTAACCTTCAATATAGTTTTATAAATAATCATTTAATAAGGATTACACTTGCACTTTCTTTGCCTAATAGTACTCTCTAGTCACTACTCAACCACTGTCCAGCATTTCCCTCAGGGTTCCAATGATGCATAAAGATTGCTGATCACATCTGCCTCTTGGCAACTAAGGACGTAGAAAGAAGCTCTTCCAGACCCAGGTCAGAAACTGGCATGGCTCTAAACTTATAATAACTTTACAAGATAGGCAGGGGACAAGGGAGAATGAGCAGACAAGAGGGATAGAAAGAACAAAGACAAAGCTGCTTTAGTCTGTAGATGAGGAAATATTGAGGATACATAACATGAAGATCACATATAGATGATCTCAATCTTTTAGGGTTGAGACCACATTTCTACTTGAGGAAACTTTATTGATCCAAGAGTTTCTCAAAATCAAAGCCATGTCATGGAATCATCCTGAGGAAGCTTGCAACAGTAAATATCCTATTAGTATTAGTAAAGAAAATATGAAGAAGGCAAGGACAATTTTTGTTGATTCAAATGATATTCAAGAATGAAGGGGAATCTTTAAATTCTCTACTCACTTTGCAATATTTCTTCCAGTAACTCTTTTAAGTTATTCAGAAAATATTTTATAGTGCACATCAGTATGATTGCATTTGGAATTTAGTCCTAACAAACTAATGCTGGAATCTAGAGAACTCAATTTGGATCTCATTTGTCTTATTCAATTTAATATCAATTAAGTAATCATTAGCAACATTTTTATTCATATAAGTGTAGTTTTACATAATAAGCGATCTAATCTAATGGGAATTGGGAAGATCTTAAAAGCATTACTCTAAAATGACAGTCTTATGTGGTAAATTGAGTTTTATGAATCATTTTCCATTTCTAGCACAGAAACCAAGATAAATTTATTCTCAAAATTACTTGGGTGAAAGAATAAATACAGATTAGTATCCTGTGAGCTATAGAAGATCAAGTAGATGATATCCTAAAAGTACTAACTTTCGGTTCTTATTTATTGATGTCTCAAAATTTTACTTGCTCATGCTATTATTATTCCTTTTCTTTTGTTCCACAGCAATTAATGAATTATCTAGTTAGTTATGGGAAATTAGAAAAACTGGAGGAATTGAGATGTTAGATATTTCTATGGTTAAAAATGTTAAAAATTGGTAGATTATAAAATGATGACCACTGACCGGAGTGAAAACATGTATGTATTATAATATCTCTATGAGTCATATTGAAGTCAAGGGTACAATTTCACAGATGATTATTATTATTGCCTTGAGAATAAGATTGTTATTAAGAAAAAGGTGCTGAAAGTTTTAGTGCTTCCATTTACAACTCACTCACAGGAAAAAGAAAAACTCCATAGAGCATTTCAAGAGCTGTATTCTTTGCTCTTTTTTCTATTTGAACTAATTTAGATGGGTTGTAGAGTTAAGTAAAGGAGCAGTAGTTCCTTCTGTGTGATTAACTGCCTCTGAAAATCTTCCAGAGGGTCAGCTATGGGCCAGTGCCAACCTGATGGTACACAACAGCAACAGCCACTACCCAAGTCAATTCTGATTCGTAGTGGCCCTGTAGGATATAGAGTAAAACTGCCCCATAGAGTTTCGAAGGAAACATATCTTTAAAGAATACTGTACAGAAGCAGACTGACACATTTTTATATTTTAGAGTAGCTGGTAGATAAATTGTTGACCTTTTGGCTTGCATCTGTACTCTTTAACTACTTGGCTGCTAGGGCCTTCTTTGAGAGAACAGATCCTATTACTAATAGTATATATTCTTTGACAGAACCCTAGAGAGACACAATTTTACTAAAGAACCTGGGAAAACCATGAAAATCAGTTCTATAGAAGCTTTCTTGTCCAGACAGTTCAGATGTCTGATATAAATGCTCAAAAAATTCCATCACTAAAATAATCGTGATTTAAGTATGTAGATTGCTTAATGTTTTTATAACTATCTTTCCCTAGAGCATCATTAATATATCTAGAAGGAAAGGCTGAAATTCATAGAAGTTGGAGAACTTACAGATCATAGGAGGCAGAGCTGTGAGTCAAATCCAATTCTTCAATTTCTGGACTCCCCCCGCCCCTCCAATGGACACCTCAAGTCCTAGAATATTCTTAATTTTATGAGCTCTTAAAAGGCATCACAGATAAAAAGAAGTTGTCATTATTCAGGAGAAATTCAATCCCTTTAAACATCTTTGATATCATGGTTAGAATTCTTAAAGAAAAGTAATGTGAATTATATTTTGTAACTGCCCAGTCAAAATATATTTGAGAACATCAAGATTAGCAGTAGATGAGCTTTCTAAACTTTCCACCAACATGAGAATATAGACCATGTTAAGGATGTTAGTGCTCAGATACCTACATAAGTTCTGTTGTTTAATATAAATTTCAAAATTTCTGACTATATCAAATACATGTTAAAAGTTTAATGAAAACAGAAATTCAAGGATGAAAAAATTATTTGCTCATTATCCTGAATTCAAAAGACACACTTCAGTTTACTGTTTGTTGTTGTTGTTAAGTGCCTTCGAGTCGCAACCCTATGAAGGAGAGTCCTCGACGCTTGGGTGCCTTTCATCCTCTCTCCAGGTTCATAGGGTTTCCGGAGGCAAGCTATTATGGAAGTGGTTACCACTCCTCCTTCCAAGTTTACTGTTTAGCAAACTGAAATAATAAATTTTTTTTTAAACCATCCTATCTGAGATGTAGTAAACTTAAGACAGACTCTAGCTGTAACTTTAAGTTTTGTTTTTGTTTGATATTTCTAGTCTTTATTAATTCTTTGTTGTAATCTACATCTTGAACTTTTTTTTTTTTAATTATTTTGTGTGCGTGTACCGTCAAATCAGATCTGACTGGTACAGGAGGATATTGCGCCTCCTTCTCCGGCAGAGCATCTGGTGGATTCGAACCGTGTTTCTCTGGGATTGCAGTGCAGCTTCTTGCCACTAGGCCACCAGAGCTCCCCATACATCTTGAACTTTTTAAGTAATAAAGATAGTATTACTCATTTGTTCTTAGAGGTCTCTCTTTTTAAAAGTTAAAAATACTCTAAAAATGTGACTTGCTATTGTCTTAGATAATAGAATTCCCAAGTTATATATGGGTTACATTTTTAAAATATATTTGCAAAATTTCCATTTACAACTCAGAATGCATTTTCCTTTGAAAACATTAGAGATGGTTATATTTACAAAACCATATTAAGACAGCAAAATTCACTCAAATCATTTACTCATCCCTAACATTTCCAAAGGCACAAACATGCATGTTTGTTTTTACAGAGATTCAGAGCCATCAACAGTCCTGCCTGGATTCCCATGGAAATAGTTAACAATGTCACTGAGTTTATATTCCTGGGACTGTCCCAAGATCCTGGAACGCAGCTCATATTCTTTGCACTCTTCCTCCTCTTCTACACTGTGATTATGGTGGGAAATCTGCTTATCTTACTGACTGTCTTTTTTGACCCCCGGCTCCACACACCGATGTATTTCTTCCTCAGTAACCTGTCTTTTGTGGACATTGCTTACTCCTCAGCCACAGCTCCCAAGATGATTGCAGACTTCATATCAGAGAAAAAGACCATTTCCTACTGGGGCTGTGTGACTCAGATGTTTACCTTCCACTTTTTTGGTTGTGCTGAGATTTTTGTTTTGACTGTCATGGCTTTTGACCGTTATGCTGCGATCTGCCAGCCTCTTCGCTATACTACCATCATGAGTGCCAATGTTTGTTCCGTGCTAGCGTTAGTGTCCTGGTTGGGGGCCCTGGGTCATTCCTTTGTGCAGACCCTCCTAACTTTTCAGCTGCCCTTCTGCAATGCTCAAGTCATTGACCACTACTTTTGTGACGTCCACCCAGTCCTAAAACTTGCATGTGCTGATACAACACTGGTAAACATCTTGGTCATTGCTAATAGTGGTCTTATCTCTCTGGGATGTTTCCTTATTCTTTTAGCCTCCTACACAGTTATTTTATTTAGTCTTCGGAAGCGATCTGCAGAGAGCCGTCGCAAAGCTCTCTCTACCTGTGGATCTCATCTGACTGTAGTGACTTTCTTCTTTGTTCCTTGTATCTTTATTTATCTCCGCCCATCTACGACCTTCCCACTGGATAAAGCCGTGTCTGTGTTCTATACTACCATCACCCCAATGCTAAACCCACTCATTTACACTCTGAGAAATGAGGATGTAAAGAATGCCATGAAACGACTATGGAGCAGGAAGATCTCGAAGGAGAAACAGAAGGGATAGTTTATCAGAATATCAAGTGCATAAAATTGGTTGGTACTTATAAAAGCCATTGTAGGTTAATCAATGATTAGATAGTCTCTAAAACAAAACTATCTCATGTTTTTAATTTAATAGGAAACAATTTTATATCCTTTTTTGATTCTTTGTTTTTGGGTGAGCCAAACTTATTACCGTTAGTCACCATGATAGCTGAATGTAAACCTTTCCACCCTGGAAAAATTTATCCTCTCCTTTCTTCTAACAGGTAAAAAAATTATGTCAAATTTAACACCTTTAGATCCCCCTCTTTCAAATAGAGTTTCCTTATAATTTAATAATTTTCAAAGAGGTTGTTGAAAGGGTATTACTGAGGAAATCACATCGTTACTCCTAGAAAAAGAAGCTTAACTTGTCAGAGTTCCTTCTGTCCTCTTCCCCTACTTTATTCCTCTTTTTATCTTATTTTCTCTTGTCCTCACTTCACTTACTTACTTCTTTCCTTATTTTGTCAATTTTTCATGTTTTTCTAGTTCTCCTTAATATCAACAGAACCTGGTAGGAGAAACAGATTCGTAAGCACACATAATTCAATTAACAAATCACGATGAAGAGAGATGATTGAAAGATAACTTCTATAAGGGGAGAAAAGAACATTTTACACATTTTGGTGCAGAGCAATTATTTTAAAGACTTCTTTGGGACATGTGAATGATTTTCTACTACTTCAATACCGTGATACTGTTTCTATGGATACTAATCTTACTTTGTAATTTTGGAAATTACAAAATAATTAACATAACTGGAGTTAATTGATATCTGAACTGCTGAAATAAGTTAATGAGATACATTTCTATGACAAAATTGTAATTAAAATTATGTATAAGCATCTCTTTTTGTAGTACTTTCAGTAAAGTTGGAAACTGTTTACAGCTGTTTGATATTTCACAGAAGATAGTTTTATAATTTTTATTCTAAGGATTTTTTTAACACCTCATCTTATAGTTCTTTTTCAAGAACTCTTTGCTAATTAATTTTAACAAACATTTTTCTCTGCATATTTTAAGAATTTCTATGTACAGCTTATAAAAATATATTTTTAAAATAAATGCATTCAATCCCATTTCTGCAACTTTCCTGTAGTATACACAATGTATCTTACTTCTTTTTTGTTTGTAATTGGTGCAGGGATGACTCTGTATTAGTTGTTTGTGACACAGATTTCTTATTATTACCTCAATATCTATTGTTCTGTTTCTAAAAATTAGTAACAGAAACATGGTGATATTTATGGTGACTTGTCTAAAATATTACATATTTAGTCTCTCCTTTGTATCGAGGGATGGACAATGTGATGGTGACAAGAGAACTGTTGGTCAAAATTTTAGTGACTCAAATAAAACATATATTTGAAGATAGCTCCTACAGAGGGAAGAAAAAGGGGGATACTTTAGGATATTTAGTAAGAATTTGAATAAGAGGTAACATCTGAAAAACAAACTTTATAAAAACCACTTATCAAAAATAATGAGAAAAATATTTGAAGTCTTTTGTTGGAATTACAAACTTAAAAAATTAAAAAGAAATGATTTTTTGGGAAAAATTTAAAAAGCAACACATGTAATTTAAGATATTAAAAGATAAAGGCAAGGACTTCTTTAAGGTTAAAAAAATGCAAAGAAGCATTACTCTCCTATATTAGCTATTAAGAATATTATCACAGGCAGTGAGTGAGTGACAACTATAATTAATTTTTATTTGCTTGTTCTTACATTTCCAAAGTTAAGATGACCTACCTGTTCATGCTATCTTTAGCATGCGTGCTTTAGTTTGTGACATTATAAAAATGGATAATTTAGCCGTATTCTTAATATACTGTGACAATTAAAGGAAATTACTCACTTAAAAAATAATATTATCACAATAAACATTGTTGCACCCATTTGAGTCCCCATTTTCAATTTTTTCATTTGTACTACTAAATATTTAAAGAAGCAAGAGTTAGAATGATTTCTCTTATCCAAGAGCCAAACAAAATAAAAAATTGAAATTTATGTTAAGTTCAACAAAAATTGACATTTGTTAGCAACATTTATAAGCATTAATAATCAAAAGTCATCAAATCAAGGTATGCCAGCATTGTGTTCAGTGGTTAACTTTCCTAAAATAAAAAGCAAATTCAATATGATTAATCAATCAAAGCCAAAGATAAGAAATTTATCCCTATAAACATTATTTTGAAATACCTGTAACAAGTATAAACTTCAATCTCCTTACTATTTTCTTTTTAGGGTGCTCCCGTTGTCAAACAGTTTTCTTGCTTAGGAAGGCCACCTAACTGTAATTGATTTGCTGGTAATATTTTTCTTTCCATAATACCTGGGAATGAAATTGCTTGGTCATGTGATGGTTCTCCCTTTACTTTTTGAGGAACCCCCAAAGTATTTTTTACAGTGACTACACCACCCACCATTTTACTATCTGATCAGCAATGGACGGCAGTTTTTGTTACCCATTTTTCTGATAATAAACATCTTGTTATTGTTGCAATGTGCCAGTCAGGTTGTCTGTATTCATAGTGATCCTGTGTACCACAGCTCTGAAGCCTACCCTAATCTGAGCCAGTCTCACTGACTTCGACACACCTACCCCATTAATTTAGTTACTGTATCAATTCGTCTTATTGGGGTCTTCCTCGCCTGTGCTGTCCCTCCACCTTTCCAAGCATGATGTCCTTTTCCAAGGATCAGTCCCACATGGCCATATGACCAAAGATTGTGTGACTGAGCTTCAAAATCCTAGCCTCCAAGAAGAAATTTGGTTTCATCCTTCTTGGTGGACCATGGTGTATGTTCAAGGCTCTTTTCCAACACCACAACTCAAAGGCATGGATTCTTTTTCTGTCATCCTTAGTCATTGCCCAGCTCCCTGATGCATAGCAAGTAATTGCAGACTGTGGGCTAAATCAGCTGCATCTTAGTCTCTAGACTGATATTGCTTTTCAGCTGTACTCAAGAGAGGTGTCTGACAGCAGGTTTTCCCAGTGCAACACGCTTTTTGATTTTCTGACTGTTGGTTCCAAGAGTGTTGATGTGATGCTGACCAAGTTAGAATTAACAACCTCAATCTCTTCTCTATCTATGATGACCTTGCCAATTGGCCTAGTGGTGAGAACCTTTGTCTCCTTGATGTTGGATTCAATCTATATTGAAGACTACAATCTTGGACTGTCTGCAGCAAATGCTTCAGGTCCTCCTCAGTTTCAGCAAGCAAGGTTGTGCCATCCACATGTCACAGGTTGTTGAAGAGTCTTCCACAAATTCTGATGCCATATTCATCCTCATATAACCCAGCCTCCTGAATGATCTGTTCCACATGAGATAGGACACATTCCTGATGCACTCCTTTCATTATTTTGAACCAAGTGTTTTCTTGCTCTGTTTTGAAGACCGCTTCCTGAACAAGAGTATAGTTTTCACCTGAGTACAATTTAGTGATCTGGGATTCCCATTTTCTTCAAGGTTAGCCACAAGTTGTGTGATCCACACGGTTAAATGTCTGTACATAGTCAATGAAACACAGATAGATATTCCTCTTGTACTCTTTGCTTTCTGCTAAGAGCAATCCAATATTGGTGATAATGTCTCTAGTGCCACGACCTCTTCTAAACTCTGTTCGTATTTCTGGTAGTTCTCTATTGCTATGCTATTCCAGTTGTTTTCTTATAATCTTCAGCAGGATTTTACTTGCATGTGATATTAGGGTATTGTTCGATAATTTTCAGTCTATCACATTACTTTTTTATTTAAATGGTAATACATATGGATATTTTCCAGTCAGTTGGGCATATAGATGGCCTCCCAATTTCTTGGCACAACCTGGTGAACACATCCAGGGCAGCATCTGTTTGTTGGAACATGTCAGTTGGTATGCCACCAATTTCTAGGGTCTTGTTTTTTCCAATTCCTTCAGAGCAGCTTGAACTTCCTCCTTGATTACCATTTTCTCTTGATCATATGTGTTTCATGAAATTCTTCTGGGTTAACCAATTCTTTTTGATACAGTAACTCAGTATACTTCTTTTCTTTTAATGCTTCCAGGATCATTCAATATTCTGCCTATAGAGTCTTTAAGTATTGCAAATCAAGGTTTGAATTACTGAGGGGTAAATTGGTATCTCATCTTTTTTATATATTTAATGGACATTTTACTTTTAATTTTAATTTTATATTTAATGGACTTTTATATTGAAGTTCTAAATTGAATTCTTAGGCTTTTTATCATTTAGTGGTATGGGTTCTTTATATATTCTGATTATCAAATTCTTACCAAATATATGATTCATGAGCCTCTTTCATGTAAAGCCACAGCTTGTGGTCCCAAGGAGCATCTAAAGCACAGATGCTGGACAAGCTAACTGGTGTATTTGCTCCTCATTTATCTACTTGTCCCCACAAACTGAGAGAATGTCTACCACTGATCATTTTCTTGAGAAACAGATTTAATTGTGCCCTAACTGGAGATGAGGTTAAAACAAACAAACAACCCCAAAAAAACCACCTGCATGCAGTGATTCATTAAGGTTTAAGGCAAGATCCTAACTGGTATAACTTACCCTGCTGGTTTCATTGATATAGTCAGCATTAACAATACTAACGAGCCTTTCCATCTGATCTATAATACTGGCCAATTTACTACTGGTCACAGCATTATACCTGAGGAGGCCAAGTACAAAGTTGTACAAAGTAAGAAGGATCTTTGTAGACATAAAAGGAATCCCTCATCTGGTGACCGATGAGGTTCAAACCATCTGCTACCCTGATCCTCTATCAAGGTAGGTGACATCATTTAGATTGACTTGGAGACTTAAGAGATTATTGTTTTTATTGATTCCACGTGCACGGTGACTGGAGGTGCTAACCTGGGAAGAACTGATATGGTCATTAATAGAGACATCCTGACTCTTTTTGATGTGCTACATGTGAAAGACGCCGATGGGAACAGATTTGCCACTTGATTTTCCA